TATGATACTTAGTTCAGCCTCTAGACAATATTAAAATTTAATATTAGAATTGGTTCAGCCTTTTAACAGCAACTATCCAATGTTCACGATGTAAGAAATTTATAGAATTTACACTCGCTTTTCCTGTTGTTTTTTTACGCACGGGTCAACCGATTTGAATGGTTCAAAAAACATTCGATTCCTATTGATAGGGAGATTGCTGATTAGTTTTTGGCAAAGGCAGGTCCAACATTCTATAATACGGAGATACGGATTCTATAACCTTCCGTTACGGAGATACGGAGCGAAGAGTGCAGAAAATACAAATCGAGTTTTCGAGAGAACGGAGTATCTGATTTGAATGATCTAAAACATTCAATTTGTAATGATTGGGAGAAGAGGTGATTAGTTTTTAGCAGAGGCAGGTACAGCCACAAAGCTAAATGTGCAAAAAATGGCAGTTTTTGAGAGAACTAAGCGTTGGATTTGAATAATTTAAAGAACTTTCTGCTTGTTTCAACAAAATAATTGCTTTTGGAAAGAAAAATGTTTCTATAATTTTTTTTTCAATAATTTTTTTTTATATCGTAAATAATTTAGATTTTAATTTTAATTCTGTTCTAATATACTTAAAACAAATAATTACAACTTTTAATTATTATAAATATTAGACCAGATAACTTTTTTTTTAATCTATGTATTAGTAGATTAATGTTACAATATTTATAATAATGTTTCTGAAAACATTTAATATTCCTCGAACATTTCGTTACGGTACGGGAAGTTCCAGCAAGTTGCCTTAAGGCACGATGCCATACACCACTAGTTTAAATTTGAAATAAAATAATATTTCACGCGTATTTGTACACTATTTCGGTTATAATAGCTTCCCGTAATGCTCAAAGTGACCACTACGAACGCTTCGGTCGATTTGAGTTTCCCTTCCATGCCTTCACACATATAGCGATGTCTCCGTTATAACAAAAATTATAATTTATATTCTAATATTTTTTATTATTTATATTTCTTATTATAATATAACAAGTTAAAACAAATCTAGCAAAACAAAACTATTCACTCAAAAATCAAGCAAGCTAAAACAAATCACCTAGTCTCAAAAACAAATATCGTGTGATTCGGGCTTTATTCATAAGCACATTATGAACACGGGGTATTCTAATATTGTCTAGGTTCATAGGTCTATGATCTATCCACAAAAATAATTTATAAGGGCTTTTATTTTTAAATGTAGGGATAATAGGCGCTATATGTAACGGGGGTAGTAACAGGCGTTTTTTAATAGGATCTTAAAATGATATTAATATTTTTTTTTGCCTCAATTAGACATGCAACCGTCCTGCATAATATTGTCATAGCAACTGTCCGGCAGGCCAACGCAATAATGAACAGCAATTTTTGTGGATGCTAAATTGTTTAAATAGTTAAGTACCCTGGTTTATAGACGGAGAGCCAGTGAACCTTTTGAATAACGGTGTTCCTGTAAGGCTAAAAATTTTTGTACAGGTGATTTTTAACGTGCTAAGTACGGAAACGACGGTCTGGCAGGTTTTAGCCCTGCACATCATGGTCGTCCAGGCGTTTGAAAGTGTAAAAAACACCCGAAAATTAAACTTGTTTCTGTAAGGTTCAAATTTTTATACGATTTAATTTACTCATTGAGAAGTTCGAAAATCAATCTGCCAGACCATTTCGACCTGCACAAGTACCTGCCAGACGAGCCGGAAAGTGAGCAAAAAATGCCCCAAAATAAACTTTGTCCTGTAAAGCTGAAATTTACATATGTGTTTATCTAAGCAATTCTAAAAGGTCTGTGCAATTGCCAGACCATTCTGGCTAGCATAAGCCCTTGCCAGACGAGGGCAAAAATGCTATGGCGGGAGGCGAGTAATAGGCGTTGCGTGAAAACTTATAGCATATATTCAAACTATATTATGAGAAATTACAAATTATGGTCAAAATAAATTTAATTAGTCACAATAAAATATATATTATCATGAATTAATCATCATTATCAGATATATCGCTAATTAATACTTCATCGTCATAAGATTCGGCATTGCTGACTTATCGTTTATAAAAAAAAAAAAACAAATTTAAATATATTAATAATATAATAAATATAAAATATTACAAATTTAAAAATTTTAACATTACCGCCTATGTGTTGATCAGCTCTGTTTGCATCCTCCTCAGCAATACGAGAAGGATGTTGTGATATTATTTCAAAATTTGAAGAAGGAACGGTATCTCTCACAAACTAATTGAAATCAAATATTTTTTCAATCAATATCCAGCCAGTATTTTGAGATTTAAGAATTGTTGGTACTTTTAAATTAAAACAAATCTGTCTAAATGACTATTTGAAAGCTATATCTACTCGTGCAGCATGTGCTGCCGCTAAAATAGACATTATTTTTTCGAAATATTACCGAATGTTTTTGGTATATTTTTCATTGAATGCAGTAAATAAAGTCCATCGAAAACAACAGCATTATACCAAATTGTTTCGTTATCAGTTATATTTGCTTGTAAGACTTCAATCATTGCTGTTTACGCGGTTTTATAGATAGTTCCATCTGCGTGGCAAAGTGACATTAAAAGTAGTTGGTATTCGTATTTTGCCTTGAGGCAAGTTACATGAACTTCCCGACTTAATCAATAAAAAATAAATTAATTTATGAGTGATTAATAGTATTACGAGTGGATTTATTACACATAATTGAAAACGAACGAACACGTTAATTCGGAGTATTTTCTAAAAGCAAATTTTCACAAATCAGTAATTTTTATAATTGAACCAGTATTCGTAGGACTTTAATGCTTCAGTATGTTCATTAAGACCATGTACTCTATCGTTATACCAAGTAAATCGTCTAATTTTAATTTTAACAAATGTGAAAATAAAAATTCACAAAGTACTCATACTCATTTTTTCAATATTTGATGAATTTTTAAAATTAAACTACTTGTCGTAATGCGGTAATATTTCACTAAGTTCTATAAGACCATGAAATTAATTTATTTTTTATTGATTAAGTCGGGAAGTTCATGTAACTTGCCTCAAGGCAAAATACGAATACCAACTACTTTTAATGTCACTTTGCCACGCAGATGGAACTATCTATAAAACCGCGTAAACAGCAATGATTGAAGTCTTACAAGCAAATATAACTGATAACGAAACAATTTGGTATAATGCTGTTGTTTTCGATGGACTTTATTTACTGCATTCAATGAAAAATATACCAAAAACATTCGGTAATATTTCGAAAAAATAATGTCTATTTTAGCGGCAGCACATGCTGCACGAGTAGATATAGCTTTCAAATAGTCATTTAGACAGATTTGTTTTAATTTAAAAGTACCAACAATTCTTAAATCTCAAAATACTGGCTGGATATTGATTGAAAAAATATTTGATTTCAATTAGTTTGTGAGAGATACCGTTCCTTCTTCAAATTTTGAAATAATATCACAACATCCTTCTCGTATTGCTGAGGAGGATGCAAACAGAGCTGATCAACACATAGGCGGTAATGTTAAAATTTTTAAATTTGTAATATTTTATATTTATTATATTATTAATATATTTAAATTTGTTTTTTTTTTTATAAACGATAAGTCAGCAATGCCGAATCTTATGACGATGAAGTATTAATTAGCGATATATCTGATAATGATGATTAATTCATGATAATATATATTTTATTGTGACTAATTAAATTTATTTTGACCATAATTTGTAATTTCTCATAATATAGTTTGAATATATGCTATAAGTTTTCACGCAACGCCTATTACTCGCCTCCCGCCATAGCATTTTTGCCCTCGTCTGGCAAGGGCTTATGCTAGCCAGAATGGTCTGGCAATTGCACAGACCTTTTTAGAATTGCTTAGATAAACACATATGTAAATTTCAGCTTTACAGGACAAAGTTTATTTTGGGGCATTTTTTGCTCACTTTCCGGCTCGTCTGGCAGGTACTTGTGCAGGTCGAAATGGTCTGGCAGATTGATTTTCGAACTTCTCAATGAGTAAATTAAATCGTATAAAAATTTGAACCTTACAGAAACAAGTTTAATTTTCGGGTGTTTTTTACACTTTCAAACGCCTGGACGACCATGATGTGCAGGGCTAAAACCTGCCAGACCGTCGTTTCCGTACTTAGCACGTTAAAAATCACCTGTACAAAAATTTTTAGCCTTACAGGAACACCGTTATTCAAAAGGTTCACTGGCTCTTGGTCTATTATGTAAACAAAAAAATCACACCTGGAGTTAGTTGAAACAAAACCGAGTGGAGTTTATAGTTTGTAAGATGCAGGCAAAAGTAAATTGTGTTACAGAAAGACACTATTTTTTGTTTGTATTATAATAATAATTGTAGTTTACGTTGATTTATGATAAAAAATTATTTTATAGACGACATTATATATTTTATTTGTAGTATATTTTATTTAGTTTGCGTTGATTTATGAAGATTACTTAGAAACATGTCAATTTTATTAAAAATAAATAGAGAATAAACTGTGAGAGGCATTTTTGTTGTTACTACTAGCCAAGCACAAGGTAGGTTGAATCACTTTTTCTAGAAAATGATTAATTGTGAATTAATGATCAACAGTTATGAAACTATTTGACTTGATTTAGTAGAGGAATAGTTACTCTGTAACTGTTAGAAGAACTATTAATTTTTATTTCTTAAAATTATAATCAGTGGATTTCAAAATATATTAGTTTTAAAAAAACTGTTGCAACCAGCCCCTAGCTAGCTTATTTAATTTTTTTATAAAATAATAAAATGAACTTAAATCATGTTAAATCAAAACAGCATTAAGCGTGGTTATTTTTTATATATCTTTTTTAATTTGTTTATTATAATAAAAATAAAACAAAACATTTATTTCATAAAATATATATATGTAAATGTTTACAAATAAATTTATAAAAAAAAATCAATTTCTCATTCAGTCAGGATATCCAGTTCATACTGTTTACTGTTTACTGTTTAATCTTTGGCCTTTTTTTCAAAAAGGCTTCTAATGTAGGTTGCGTTTTTCTCCTGCTCTCTTTCAGAAGATGTTGATAAGCCGATAAAGCATCTATAACACCCCGTCTTGCTTTAGAACTCCTCTCAAAATTTGGATCATTTTCTATAAATTGATCCATAATTTCAGTCACTGTAGTCACAGACCTATCTACAAATACCATTGAAAGTTCTTTTTGTACGTCATTGAAATCACTGCCAATTTTTATGTTTTCTTCTCGCTTATTGATTAATTGGAGATCATCAGTAGAAAGACTATCTGACAGTTCTTGAATTGTTTCTTCAATGTCTTCCACATTTGATTTACCTAAACCAGTCTGTTTTGCTAAATCCACTATTTGTTCTACATTTTCATCAACACTAAGAATCAATTCTAATGGATAGTTTCCTTGTTCAATTATTGTTTCAAATGTCGTTGAAAATTCATCTGCCGCTTTCGCATCACAACTAGCTGCTTCTCCTGTAATCTTTTTGTTGTTGAGATTATATCGAATCTTAAATCTATCAAACCACCCTCGACTAGCGACAAAAGTATCCTTTATGTCACTTGTCTCAGACTGAATGGAATTGAAAATATTTCTAGCTTTTTCCATTATGATCTTTTGGCTTAATAGCACATCATGCTCCATTTTGTTATCAATCCATATAGAAAGTTGTCTTTCCATTTCCTCTATGGTGTTATTTCTAGTACGTGTAATTCTAGTAGCAGAGCTTGATGTAGTTGAAGTTGCCGATAACAGTATTTTTTCCTTGTTCCTAAGAATTGTCCTTATTGTTGAAGTAGCCATATTCATTGAAGCACTAATTTGTGATTGTCGTTCACCAGAGTCTAATCTTCTAATCACTTGCATTTTAGTTTCTAATGAAATGCTTTTTCTGGTTACTTTTTTTTCATGCTTTCTAATATTATACATGATAAAAACTGATGATCATATAGTACCCAATGTGTTTGCAGAATCCACTGCATAAAATAAGGTGCAAAACAAAGTATTGTTAAGCAGGATATTACAGTATTTTGTCATCTTTGTCACCATATGGGCTATTTATCCATGGTGGTTTTACCATCGTCAAAACATTCCCGTACCTAGTTTCAAAATCAGAATAAAGAGCATGAGTTAGATTTGTTCTTTTAGAATTAGACTGATCATATTAAATAAATAAATAAATAACCAAACAAAGCAAAATTTGCATTATATTTTAATAAATTGTATTTCCATCCTTATCTTTATTATCCAGAAATTTTAAAGCAGTCTCATATATAAACATTATTTATAACTTCTATGATTATTATTTAGTTACTTATAAGTTTTATGTTTTTCTTCTCACATTTGTTGATTTTAGTATGCAAAGCACTCATTCCATTCATTTACATTATAAAAATATCTATTCTTGTCTCTTTAGCTATAAGTAACTATAAATTGTTTTTTAAATTCAACATTCCTACACGCACTGTATTTTTTTCAGTATAGTGTCTAGCCTTGTTAGAAAAAGTTGCTTCATATTTAAAAAAAAATTATTAACTAATTGAAAGTGGCATTTAGCCATAAAGCAAGTTGCACGAATTTTGCGAAATGTGTAACAATTGTTCAATTACTCAATTACTACTCCATAGTTACTTATAGCTAAAGAGACAAAAATAGATTGTTTTTATAATGTAATCGAATGGAATGAGTGCTTTTCATACTAAAATCAACATAATCAAGCGAAATTGAAATTTAGATACCTAGACAAAAATTTCAATTTCGAAAATAAAATATTCTATTTCAATTAAATCTAAGCATTGCTATTTCCAATTGATATCTCTGAAACACATTTAAATTATCTGTAAATTATAACAATTATATTACATAGACAAGTGCTTGATGTCCTAAACATACAATGTTTAGAACATGAGATATTCTCATAAACATCTGTAGCAATTGACAACGTTTGACTCACCACATCACAAAAGCAACTTCTGACAACTTTTTGATATTATTTCGAACTTTGATAAATTAAAAATAAACTATTTGCCGTGCTGCCGTTATGACATACTTTAGTATGTTCTTGAGAACCGGCTATTTCTTAGTAAGGAGGAAACGGCTCGGCCGATCTTTGTTCAAAGCTATAATCAGCACGAATCCCAATATTAAATTAAAATATGTACATTTTAACAGAGATAAGACCAGTTTCACTTTGTAAATCAATTATTGATTCTTTAGTAGACACCCTGACCACATGCTATTCTACTTAATATCACAATTAATGATTCAGACATTATACCTGCTTCTTTAAAATCTACTGCAAATTCAAATGAGCCACATATAATTTGTTGATTATCTTTTAAAACAGCTATTTGTTTAACCATTTTTATAATATTAAATCAATATCTGCATTAAGCTTTGACAGCTCACAAAGCAATAGCTAATAAATTGATTTATTTAAACTCAAAAACAAAACGTTGACATCTTTCTGTCAAACGGAGTCACACAACACACAACACACACAACAAATTTTATGGAATTAACCCATAGAACACAAACCAGATCTCGAAGATCCATACATGATCCATAGATAAATAGGCATAAAAGATCATCCATAGATAAAAGAAAATTATAAAACATGCAGAGCCACATAGAACAGAACAGAACTACAAAATCGTTTCGTTTGAATGCCGGAGTCGGAGTTATTAACATATACATAAAACAAAACCATAGGACCATGCATAAAACACTATCCAAACTAGTTGGTATTGGTATTTTGCCTTCAGGCAAGTTACATGAACTTTCCGATATGTATAAATAATCGATTTAATCAATAAAAAAAAGAGTGCGCGTAAGGATCACACGCGATTGAAGTAAAACTTTTAATATTGTATGAGTAGGCAATTAAGATAAAAATAAAAAAAACATCATATTTGAATTTTAAAAATCATCTTTTAATAATCACATAACATCAATAATAATAAGATCTTCTGAGCATCGGCACAGCTGTCCTACTGATATTAAGAGTTTAAATATGATGTGAAGCTTTCTTCCTAATTTTGTTACCTATCTTACCAGGAAATTCAAACCATAAACGTAGAAGTTCATCATTATCGCCACGTTCTATGTACACTAATTTTCCTACACAACCATTAGCTAAGCCATCACTTACATCAATATTAGTTGTTATTATGTAAAATTTATTCAGAACTAAAATTATTTCATACGGCAAACCCCCGGTATCAATAACCGATTTTTGTGAAACTGCTGGCGAATGTATGATTGTTGATCTGTCGCATGGCAACCTACATAAATATCCGTGGCAGTAGATATTATTTTGTCTTCAACGAGATTCAATATAAATTTATTATATTCCATGACACATTTATTCTCTAAGAAGTCTTATTCCATGAGGACATAATACAGCAACCTCTTCTTTTGTAAAAAAAACGTGATTCAATTAATGCAAGTTCATATAGGGTTTAGCGGGTTTAGCGTTCGACTTACGCATGACATGACGGGAGTGGATCGCGACTCGCGACATCAGCGCCTACCTGCGTCGTAGTGTTCAACTTCACGTTGGCGTTTTCGTTGCATTTGTACGGATTTACACCCGTGTAGCCTAAAGAAATTTTTACACCCATATCGCGCCTAAAAAAGTTTTACTTCAATAAATTAATTTATGAGCGATTAAAAGTATTCCGAGTGGATTCATTACACATAATTGAAAACGAACGAATGCTCTATCGTTATACCAAGTAAATCGTCTAATTTAAAATTGAACTTGTCGTAAGGCCCTAATATTTCAGTAAGTTCTATAAGACCAGGATATGTAACGCCAAAAAAAAGTTCCATAAAAATCGGCTTAAATTTTTTTTCATCGGTTAATTACAAGAAAACAGATAGATTTTCAACTAAAACTAATCGGTATCATTCCCAAATGATATCTTACGAACAGTTATTCATTTTTAGAAATCGATTCGCTAGTATGAGCTTAAATGTGGACGAAAAGTTTAACACTTTTTTCTAAATTACAAAGAAATGGCTCGGCCGATCTCTGCACAAAACTGACAAAAAACAACCCACATCAAAATACATCGATTGACTTTTAAATTTTTGAAATCGGTTTAGGCGTTTTTGAGCAATTGTCGATGAAATTTATAATTTTGACAAACGCCAAAAAATCGACACTAATTTTTGCAAACTTTGACGATTTTTTTAAATTAAACGACTTGTCGTAGGACCGTAATATTTTAGTATGATCTATAAGACTATAGTATCTACCGTCAAAAAAAATTCGTGAAAATCGTTGAAAAAAAAATTTAACACCTTATTACAAGAAAACGGCTCGGCCGATCTTTACCAAAAGCTAATCAGGTCGATTCCCAACCAATATGTTTCAAACAGTTTTTGAATTTTCAAAATCGATTCAGAATTATGGGCTAAAACGTGGACGAAAAAATTTTCACTTTTCTGCGATTTACAAAGAAACGTCGCACAAAACTTAGAAACGCTAGTTCTCATCGAGATACATCTAATGGCTTTTAAATTTTTGAAATCGGCCTTGCCGTTTTTGAGAAAACGTCGATATACGGCAAAAAATGTGTTCACACACACACAGCACACACATACTTTTTCCAAATTTGGTCTCATTCGATTCAGAATGGCTTGAAACGTCGAGAAAACATAAAATAAGCAATTCGGATTTTTTGATGAAAACATAAACTTCTCCTTCGGGAAATTAATAATTAAATATATTTAATTTAATTATATGTCGAATAGTATTTTGAATATATTCTAAATCAATAACAAAAAATCAGCGGTTTTTATCGATGTTGACTATCGATATGACGAACGATAAAGTTCTATGGTCGGTTGACAGATGTTTATGAGAAATTGGCGGTATTCCGCGTTAATGCTTTTTTTATCCTTCGCAACTTAATCTTTGAGCAAGTAGATGATTGTACGCGCTAAATATATCAGTGAAAAATTAAGTTATTAAATTTCTAAAAACTATTTTAAATCGCCATGGCCTCTCAACTCACGAGTGGATGTTTGATGGTAAGATTCAGAAGTTGAGATATTTTTCATAATTGCTATGCTAATGTTTAACAAAAATATGTGACCTAACTTTCTCTGTGCACTTTCATACCAAGCGTTAACTTATCATTTTCTTATATCCCAGGGTATAATGACCGGAGCCGTCATTGAGAATCCTATTATGCAAATTCTTGGAAGTAAGAAAGTGATGGGAAATGGAAACACAGAAAGATATCGACTTTTAATCTCTGATGGCCGATACTTTCATAGTTTTGCTATGCTGGCTACTCAGCTCAATGGTATGCTTGTCGCTGGAGAACTGTCAGATAATACTGTGGTTTGCGTTGATCGCTACATTACTTCAGTTCTAAACAATACAGGCAAAGGTGATAGGTGCGTATATGGGCTCTCTCAAAACCTTTTTCCGAAAGTGGTTATAATAAATATAAATGAAGAAAGCCAAACCACATTGAACTTATTTTACATTTAATATATTTTATTATAATGCTTTTTTTTTTGCTGTGTCAAACTTTTCCATGGTTGACATTTGTTTTTATATTTTGTATCTATGTATTTGGGTATTTTTGATACACAAAATATCCTTTCAGACGAGTATTAATCATATTGGGCTTGACTGTTGTCAGGCCTGGAGAAGAAGTTGGTGAAAAACTTGGAAGCCCTGTAGCTTTACCTGAGAATCCCGAGGGCATGGCTGGTCAAAACTCTAGCTCGGGAGTATCAGGAACTGTTACAAGTAAGCAAAGAAAAGATACAGATTAATATAGTAGATATTTAAAAAAAACTCAATAATTTACTATAAACAAGTTAATTTTGTATAGTAATATTCTCATAAGTTCCTTAAAGCATTGTTTTTTAATTTATATACTATTTTTATGATACCTGCTGCATAGATCAATATTATGTTTATATATATATATATATATATATATATATATATATATATATATATATATATATATATAGATGGTAGTCTTATATTTGTAAATAATTTGTAGAGCTTCAAACAACGTATAAAAAACAAAAATCTTTTTTAAAGAATCATTTCTATATTTATTTGCTGTTGATGTTTTGGAACTAAGTGCGTTCCATCTTCAGGACATCTGTCAAGTAACATGATCTTGATAAGATTTAAACAAACAATATATTTAAGAAAAGTAGATATATAAAATGAATAAAATTGTTAAAGGAAATATGACAATATAATCAAGTGAAGTGCTTTTTATTAGTGTGTTATGCTTGATTATTATATTCTGTTAATACTTGAAAAAAAACATCAACTTTAAAATGTATACAATAATCAGAGTAATCCTCAATCATTTAATTATATGATAATACAAATTGAATTTTTAACCAGGTGCTCCACCTCCAAGTAGTGGAAACTCGTATAACAAAAAACCAACTTATGAAAGTTCTGTGACCTTAGTTGGACAACAGCTCACTCATCCAATTGTATCTTTGAGTCCTTACCAAAATAAGTAAGTTTACAATTATATAAGATTGTATAATTTAGATATTTCAAATTTGAAATTGAAATAGGGTATTAGAATTTATATTATGTAATTTCTTCACTTGTGATTAGAAAAATGCAAATATATATAAAAAAAAGTTTTTATGCAACCACTAAGATTTATATTTGCTTTCATTTGGTATTTATCAATTTTGTAGTTTATATAAATTGTATATATTTTTAAATAGGTGGGTAATCAAAGCAAGAGTAATGAATAAGTCTGCTATAAGAACTTGGAGTAACAGTAAAGGCGAAGGAAAGTTATTTAGTATGGATTTATTTGATGAAAGTGGAGAAATCAGGGCAACTGCTTTTAAAGAGCAATGTGATAAGTTTTATGATATGATTCAGGTACTGGTGCAGTTTTTATAAATCGATCATTAATAATAATTAAAAGATAATTGATCAAATATTGAATTTCTATTATAAGTTATTTGTTGCCTAAAAATACATTAATTTAAATAAAATTCATTTTTTAAGCCCTCTATTTTAGTTTTATCATTATTTGTTAAGATAGCTTGTCCTTAACATTTCTTACTTAAAGTAACTGATTTACCCTACCCCTGCAAGTTGAATATTCTGAAAATATTCATTGAGGCTTATAAATATTTTGTATTAATTTAGCCCTATAAGTTAAATATTAAGAATATTTCATTGAGACTAATGTATATTTTGTTGTTTCAGTGGACAAGGTGTATTATATATCAAAATGCCAATTGAAACCAGCGAATAAACATTTTCTACCCTCAAAATGATTATGAAATGACGTTTACAAATGATACTCAAGTCGCTGAGTGTATGGATGCTGATATTGGAGTGCCAGAAGTCAGTTACGAATTTGTAAAGATTAAAGATATTGGTGAAAAGGAAACAAACAGTTTTGTAGGTAAGGGCTTAATTGATTTTGATGAAATATAAAATACCCTTCATACAGGATAATCATACCAGGCTTTGGTTCACTGGTTTTATATAATTTTTTATTTATTTAAATATAGATTTGTGTGAAAATGATTCTAATACATGCTTTTTTATATTTTATTTTAAGTAAAGAAAATTTTTTGGGTTTTCTTCTACACAAACCTCTGATTTTAGACAAATTTAATTTAACGACTTTTAATTTAACAAAATTTGAAATTTTGTTTACTCAAGGTTTAAAGCCATTCTGATTCAAATGAGACTAAATCTGGAAAAAGTATTTATGTGTGTGTATCGGTTTTAAAGTTTTCATGTATGTTTTCTCAAAAACGGCTGAACCAATTTAAAAAATTTGAAAGCCATTTGATGTAACTTAGACAGGACATGCGTTGATGAGTTTTGCGCGATGGCCGGCAGAGCGTTCTCTTATAATTGTTAAAAAAGAAAAAAAAAATACGATTTTAATGGAACTTGATATGGTGATAGAGTACATGGTACTTAATAAACATACTAATATATCACTCTTACAGGAAGTGGTTTAATTAAACAAATTTATTAAAGCCTGAATTAATAGGCCGCGCTTTTACAAAATACTATGTTCGAGAGTTCTTTATAACCACTGTTTTTCAAATACATACTAATAAATGTAAACCTGTCAACAGCATACTGTCACCTTGAAAATATCTAATGAGGTTGCAAATTACTATTACATTATTTTGTTCTAATTGTATATGATATATAATTTCAGATGTAATTGGAATTTGCAAGGATTGCACTAATGTTGTCCAGTTGACTTCTAAGGCTGGCAGAGAGTTGCGCAAAAGAGAATTAACATTGGTAGACAATAGCGGAGCTTGCGTAAGTATTACGAGCGGCTTAATTAGTTTTTGAATAGTTTTGAATTAGTTTTGTAATTAAACATTATCTATAATTTAGATTTTTTTTATAAATATGAATAGCATTTAAATAATTGTCACATAAATATAAATGATTTTAATGATAAATATATAATTATTTATGAACACTTTCCGAAAGAAATTTGTTTTTGCTAGAACATCCGATTCGCTTTTGCTTTTTCGATGTTTCAATACATTTTAAGTCGTATGACATTGAAGGTTGCTAAATCGATTTCAGTAATTTAAAAGCTATTTGAATAGCTTAGAGTTTACAAAGGTTAAAAGTGTAATCATAACAATTACAATTCAATAAGTTGCTAAATGTAATTCTTTTTGATTGAGTCATATTATTTATACATATCAAAAAGTTCATGTATCTTGCCTCAAGGCAAAATGTTATATACATCTAGTTTATATTAAAACTTTATTTTAACATCGATTTTTTACATTATTACTAGTATTTCTTTTATCCGTGTTCTTTGTTGCAGATTAACTTAACTCTGTGGGGTGATGAGGCAGAAAACTTCGATGGTTCGTTACAGCCCGTAATTCTTGTAAAAGGAGCTCGCCTTAATGAGTTTGGCGGTGGAAAATCATTAGGAACGGTATCTGGAACATGCTTGAAAATAAATCCTGACATTCCTGAGGCCCATAAACTTCGAGGGTGGTTTGATAACGGTGGTGCAAATGCCGATTCTACAAGTCTATCGGCGATGTAAGAAATTAAGATTAATACTTAATTTATATAACCGAATATATTTTGTATAAAACCTACTACTCTTTCATTTCTTTTATCAGGTCTGGCCTCGGTTCCAACGCATCAGCACCTTTAATGACGCTGAAAGAAGCAAAGATTCGTCAATTAGGAAGTGGAGAAAAACCTGATTATTTTTCTGCAAAGGTAATTATTAAAAACTACTCATATGTATTTTCAAACATAGTGTTTGGTATTTGATATTTGGTGTTTAAAAATTTTTTTTTTTTTTTTTTTTTTTTTTTTTTTTAATAAGACTTAATTCAAAAATTTAAATATTATATGAAAATCGCTTATCTTTTTCGGTTTCACCAACAGTCCACATTATCCAATACTTCTGTAAAGAAAACATGTAAAGTATTATACATCGTTCTTCCTTATATATCGCTACTTCAAATTCCGCACGGTGTAGCCTACAGGCAAGTTGCAATTGAAAAATTCAAGGAAAACTGGAAAATCTCGAGAAAATTATATGAACACACTTAACCATTTATTATATAGCATTTTAATCTTAATTTTATTCTGCATCTTTTGTCCGAACAAAGTTCTAAGCGTCCGATTTAATTGATTCAAAAAACTTTCTGCTTGTTTCAACAAAATAATTGCTTTTGAAAAAAAAA